TTCGGTATGTCTTGTCTATCTTGATTCCCTTTTTTGTTATTTTGATTGATTGATTTATTTTTTTTCCCCTTGGATCTTTGCTTCTTTTCTCTCACCTCTGTTAGAGAGATGTGTACTTTCTTTTCTTTTCTTTTCTTTTTCTTCCCCCCTTTGACAATAACGTATGGACACAAAACTTGAACCAACCAGGTGGGAAGGAGGACAAGATAAAGCCAGGGATTTGGCTTTTTGAAGTGCTTTGTTATAAATCTATCTTTGGGACCACTCGGCTTGGTTTGCCGCCCTCCTTAAGGTATAGTACCTCCTGTACCAAACCAACAAACCACGCCTTTCTTTTTCTTTGCTTTTTTTCTTTTTCTTTTTCTTTTCTTTTTAATTATTTGTTTTTCTCTCTGGTGTTCCCTTTTTCTTTGTCTCTCTGTCGAGAGGATGACACAAATACCCTCGGATCCCGTACAGCCCCCTCTCCCCACTAGGATAGCAGAATGCCATAGATGAATGGAACCTCCATAGATAGAACTGTAACGATAGCCCTACCCAGGTAGGATGGGTTAGTAGTAGGTCATCCTTCTTTGAATCCTTGGTTATGAAACTCAGAGTATGCCACTAACAAGGTGAAGGTCTCATAGACATACATCCATTCCCATGGTACTCTACAATGGAAGACGAGAGAATGATACAACGTCCGTGCTAGGACGAGTTACTAGTAGTGGTGGATCAAGAAAAGGGAGAGAAACGAGCCATTGGAAGTTGCTCAAAGGCACTGTACTTTTCCCCAATGAAAAACCGGTGACTCAGCCGGGTTTGGACCAGTCCAGAGCAGAGGACAAGTTGAGCAATGCAGCCCCCTCCATCATTGCCTCCACTCTCGTCGTCGCTACCACTACTACTACTACTAGGTACTAGTACTAGCTTTGAACAGGGGAGGTATTGTTTCGATGTTTGATTTTCCAGCCGTCCTTTGTCTGTCCCCGACGCCCGCATGCGGTGTCTAGCAGGGATTCCGAGCCAATCATCACACTCCTTCTCGGATTCACCGTGATTGGCCCACCTGCAAAAATGACACTTGCCGGATTGAAATCAAGTGAACCAACCATGGAAGCATACAAGTCACGGTTACTTGACCGAGCGAAGAAAAGGTACGGGAACAAACTATGGAGTAGCCAGACTACGACAGATTGAGTTAGGCTACTAATTATTCCCCCCACCCCCCACCAGTTAACTCAGACCGACTAGTACGTAGTAGTAGTAATCAGGTAGCAAGCAACCTTTTGCTTCGGAGGGAGGACAGAGAACAAAGAAATAAGCAAATGAAAGAATGTCAGAAATTAAGGGCAAAAAATAAATTAAAATAAAATACAATAAATGAAGATAGTGAATTTTTTTTTTTTAAAAAAAAAAAAATATCAGAGGGAAAAATAAGAGGTAACTTCAAAGAACAAGGACCAAAGAAAAACACCAATCACCCTCTTACAAGCCGCAGTCCCTCTCACAAAGAACTTCTTTTCTCTCCTAGGTCAAAGAAAAACGATCGGCGTCAAGGTGCTCCCTCCAGCCAGCTGGGGAAGCCTTATGTCATGACGGTTACAACTTGCAGGTCTCCCAAGGTATTGGGTCGATCTCCCATTCCGTGATCGTCGCTCCACAATCACGTTGCAGTCGAGCCCGATGGAGTCTACTTTTTTTACTCCACCATGTTTGAATGGGACATACCACCTCGCGAGATCTTGGTTACTGGGTCTGAGATTTTCCATCGCCAAGATTCGGCAGACCAATCTCGTTAAAAATGAGACAAAATGAGACAGCTAGAGACTCATGATTGGTGCACAGCCAGGCTTCTGGGAGACATAGCCAAGGTCAAACAAGCTGAACAGAAGGGCTTCTTTGTGAGCTCATCAGCTGAGGTCATCCCTGGCTGTGTTCCCTCTGCAGCAAGCGTTTGTTGTGTGTCGGAAACCAGCGGTGGCCTTGGTTGTCTACAGAAACACACCTCCTCCCGAGCAAGGAATTACGGCTATATTGTGCGTGTCTTATCCGTGGTGGTGTACTGGAGAGAAAAAACACATTATTTATGCCTCTGTTTTTTTTAACATTTTTTTTAAAATCTTTCTTTCTTAGAAATCCACGTTTATCTGAGCCACATTTCTTCGATCCCGTGAAAAATTTCCGTACCCATGAGTCGGTGGGCCGAAGGACCCAGATGCATCTCGTTCCTGAAGATACGGTTAGTCTGGCTCGAGTCACTGGGAACCATTGGTAACATGTCTTGATCTTACCAGAATAAGAACTTCTCTGGGTTGTCACATTTTTTCACCTCTGATGTCATCACTAGTTGCTGTTCATTTTCGACGCATGCGTCGTCGACATTCTCCCACCCGGGTTCCTGGTTCTTTCCCAGCCCATTGGGTTCTTCAATGCCGGCAGCATATAGTTGCCAATCACGGATCAGGTCGGCTAGAAAAGCGTTCGTATCGAACAGATAGATTGTGCCTAGGTCCCATTTTTCTGCAGCCTCACGAAGTCGACGGTTCCAATATTCCGTAATTTGGACCGCCTCTTTGTGCCGGCCGATATGGCTTCTCGTGGGCCTGAACGCTGGAAGGAAGGTGACATCTGGTGTCAATGTCAGGATGACCTTGAGCTCATTCGTGCCCAAACTCTGAGACAGCACATTGAGCTGATCGATGATGACACCAATGCTGCGATCCACTGATTGCGTTGCAGTGTCGTAGTCCATATCCAACATGTTCCACACATCCCAAACACCAAAGGAAACGACAATAATGGTGCGGTTCTGGCGGTGGCTGATCATTTCCTTGTTGCCAGCTAGGTCTTCTTGCACAGCACGTGCCTCAGCGGCGGTCCACTGACTGACCTGAGCCTTGAAGTCGGCCAACGGTGACTTGTGTAAGTTGAGCAATGAATCTGGTAACTCGTCATTGTCTACGACCGAGCCAATATACTTTCCTCTTAGTGACTTAGCTGTCTGCGCCATATTCTCATGGTGGCATTGAAACTAAACCGTGAATGAGCTCATCGTCAATTCAAGCCCTGGGACGGCCTTTGTTTTTGGGTTTGCCTACCTTCGAACAAAGCCACTCCGTCCAGACAGACCCTTGAAGCTCGCCCGCATTGTTATCGCTCCACGAATCACCGAATACGACTAACCTCCGATCAAAGGAGGTAGCGACATTGAAACTGGAGTCTTCACCATTGGTCGGCACCACTCGTCTATAGTAATTCTGGGAAGCGAGGAACCAGGCCGATAGCAGGATACTAGCTACGGCCAAGGCGCATACAGTGTGAAACTTATTGAAGAGGCGCATCGCGGGTTGAGACACAGAGCTAGTACAAAGGAATGGAAAGTGTGACGAAGGCGTCCGAAGCCTGTCCGTGTGTAGATGTCGGCGGTCGGCAGTCTCTTTCGCCGTCTCCTACCAATCCCATCCAACAAATCGTGGATGTCGACGTCAAGTGGCTGTGAATAATTTTTTTTTCTGACACACCTGCTGCTGGAGATGACTAAAACGTGTTCAGAAAAACTAAGAGTGTCTATGTCAATCGGAAGCGCCGGTTATGGATCAAACGAGGCCTTCCCCCTGAGACAGAGGGAAGGGTTGAGGAACAAGAATCGTATCTCTGGGGGTACCGTGCAGAAACCGGGACTTTCCAGTGCAACTAGCGTAGTGATGAGGGTTGGCAAGCCAGGTGGGGAATATAAGAAGGGAAAAAGAGTCTTCTTCCAAAGACAATGGAAGGAAGGGAACAAACGCGAGGAGATGACGGGGATGAGGTTAAAGAAAGTCGAATACTAGTGTGTGAGGGAGAAAGAATGAAAGTCGATTAAGATGTCTATAATTAAGGAAAGGAGAAGAACTACCGCATTGACACAAGACAATACTAAGAATAACGCCTTGGGAAGTGTCGACTTTGACCTAAGGCGTTCACAGTATGCCATTCCCCATAATAAGGCTGTTGTCCGCGCGGCGACTCCGGATCGGTCAACCAGTCGCGTGCTCGGGTCATTGCGTAAGGTGCCCACCCCTCTGACTAAACCGGCCGTGACGCTCAAAATCCTTCCTTCTTTACTTTTCCTTCTGCATAACGGATTGATGACTAATTGCAACAGTCTTTCAATGCATACTTGGTGCATAATTCCTACTTCAGGTTAGTGTCCTCGATAATGGGTGTACAGAGAGTACGTCCGGAGTAGTTGCAGACGGGGAATACTCCGTCTAGTGGATGCTAGGTGGGTTGCAAGAGCTACGGCGCATTTTAAATGTGATTGTGATAAGCGCCACTTTGATCTGTATATCCCGAAGAGGGTGGGGTGGGGGGGTGCTTGGGTCAGAGTTTCAACTGTGTTACTGATATGTGCCTTACCAAAATGCCTACATTGTTAATATTCATGAACCATAGACGATTAAATATCTCGAACAGTAGTAAGAGCAAGTGAGATGAGAGATAAGATAGAGTAGTATTTATTGTCAAATGAAGCCGTATTATAGTGGATTCCCGTAAAGGTACAGCAGTTGTTCGAGTAGAGGATACCACGAGATGAATGTATACCAGCAGATGTACCTAGTAGCGTATATCTCACTCTCTGTACAGATGAGCATAAGAAGTTTGATGATCTTTCTGAATGGAACATACTTTTAAGTCTGGAAATTCCCAAAATGGAAAGCGGCTGACATAAGAAGCCCTACTTCGCGGCACTAATCCCAAGTGGGAATGGTGAATGTTAGTCAGCCGCCCACAGAGGGAAATCTCGCTACACCACAGCGGCCAAAAATCCCAAGTACTGAATCTCCGACGACCTAACCTCCTCGACCTGTCGACAATACCCGCGCCCTCCGTCTTGACCGCGCAGCTCCGTCAAGATGAAGCTCAACATCTCTTACCCGGCCAATGGGTCGCAGAAGATCATCGAGGTTGACGATGAGCGCAAGCTCCGTCCCTTCATGGAGAAGCGCATGGGAACCGAAGTCAGCAACCCCATATCCCTATTTTGAACACGCCCCTTCGATCTGCAATTTGAACATTCAACACGCGAAAAATTTGGAAGCAAGAAGACTGATCGGGGAATATTTTCGTTGTATAGGTTGCCGGCGACTCCCTTGGTGATGAGTTCAAGGGTTACCTTTTCAAGATCACCGGTGGTAACGACAAGCAAGGTACGGCTGGAATTTTTTTTCTCTATAAAGATTTTCCTTGATTGTGGGATTCGTGTGAATTGGGAAAGAAGGGCATAGCGATTGCGGGACAAGGATTGAGCTAAAATGCTGACATTCACTTTTACCAGGTTTCCCCATGAAGCAGGGTGGTATGTAACCGACCGATATAAAACGCTCAGCAATCACCAGCAGGAAAACTTATCGAATCTCTGCAGTTCTCCTTCCCACCCGTACCCGTCTCCTCCTCGCCGATGGCCACAGCTGCTACCGCCCCCGCCGCACCGGTGAGCGTAAGCGCAAGTCTGTCCGTGGTGGTATGTTTTGAAAATCAGTGATCCTGTTTCTCCTGTGCGCATAGTTCGTTTATTGATGACTTTCCACAGCCATCACTGGTTTCGATCTCGCTGTTCTGGCCCTGAGCATCGTCAAGCAGGGTGAGGGTGAGCTGCCCGGTCTCACCGACACTGTCGTCCCCAAGAGACTCGGCCCCAAGCGTGCCACCAAGATCCGCCGTTTCTTCGGTCTCGACAAGAAGGACGACGTCCGCAAGTTCGTCATCCGCCGCACCGTCACCAAGGAGGGCAAGCCCGAATACACCAAGGCCCCCAAGATCCAGCGCCTGGTTACCCCCCAGCGTCTCCAGCGCAAGCGTCACAGGATCGCCATCAAGCGCCGCCGCTCTGAGGCTGCTCGCGAGGCTGCGTAAGCTCCCTTACCTTGACACGTCTACATCCTGATTTGGGTTTACTAATTGCTGCGAAACAGTAACGACTACGCTAAGCTCCTTGCCAACCGTGTCCACGAGGAGAAGGCTAAGCGTGATGAGCTCCGCAAGCGGAGGGCCTCTTCTATGAGGAAGTAAATGCATCTTCTCCGGGGTTAATGGTCGGGTTACGTCTCTCTTATGGCTAGGGAAAAATCTCAGCGGACGAGGAAAGGGGGCTATCGAGGTGCAAAGCAGGGGTGTAACCCAAGAGAACAGAGTATATTCCTTGGGGGGCATGCGTCTGCGGGACCGAGGCTTTAGCGTGCTGCCTTTTTCTTTTTTAAAAAAGCCATATCCACAGCTGGAATGAAAGGGAAAAAATGTGAAAGAAGTTTTCTTGTTCTCGGATCCACATTGCACGGTAACAGGGTAACGGTTCCGCGGACTGCTAGCACTGCTTGATAAATGAATGAAGCTCGATGTTTTTTTGTACTCACAACTGCAAATCCTAGTTTGTTTTCTGTTTCTTGAAGAGATCATCTTTTCAGCATTGCGAAGTTGTAGTATCATCCTCTAGTCTCTTAAGCTTAAGGAGCACCTACAAGCGCCCAATAATAGTGAAGTCTTGCAAGGTTACATGGTGGACTCTTGCCATAACCCAAGCAATCTTGCAAGCCATGAGCAGTAACATTACCAAGCAGCGTGAGCCAAACCGTCACATTCTCAGATTTCCTCTATATCCATAAAAAAACCAAAACAGAAAAAGAACAAGAAAAAACTCCTTTCAGTACGTGTATATGTACAAATGCATAATTCAATTCATCGTAGGCGCCGCCAACTTTTTCGGAATTTGCCATCCCTGTTCCACCCATTGTTCGTGTATACATCATGGCCTTATTCGTGTTATGATAGTTATCAGAGTATAAATTTCCCCGTCTTAAACCAGAAAACAAAAGATCAATGGCCAGTTGAGAAACCGCGTATCTCAAAGTGTTGAGCATTTGAATTCAAGGAGAAGGAACAAGTAACGTTCCTCTTCTTCTGTCCCGGTGAAAGACCCCTTTCAATTGTCCTCACCCAGTGTAGCTCCTTAGGCGACAGCGTGGGAGAACAAGAAACTCACGGACTCGCCATTATGCGTACGTCTGCAGGCCTCGGCAAGAGTAGGGCTGATATCGATTGTCTCGATCTTGTCGCACTGCTCTTTCTTTTCTTGGTGAGGAACAGTGTTGGTAACGACAAGACGCTTTAGGCAGCTCTTGTTGATGTTTTCAATGGCCTTGCCGGAAAGAATACCGTGAACAACGATCGCGTTCACCTCCTTAGCCCCGTGCTGCATTACAGTATCGGCAGCCTTGGCCAGAGTTCCGCATGTGTCAGCCATGTCATCCACGATGATGGCAACCTTATCCTGAACATTGCCGACGAGAACCATGCGGGAGACCTCGTTCGGGCGAGGGCGTTCTTTGTGGATAAGTGCGAATTGCAGGTCGAGACGGTCAGCAATAGCGGTAGCACTGGTGACAGACACAAATTAACGCTGAACTTGACAGCGACCATATTCTATAAGAGCAATATAAACATGCAGCTGACTTACCGCTTCGCACCACCAGCATCTGGGCTGACGATGATACAGTTGCTCACATCCAGATTCTCCCGGATCCACTTAAGAATGCTGGGTTCGGCGTACAGGTTGTCAACCGGAACGTTGAAAAAGCCTTGGATTTGGCTGGCATGAAGGTCCATAGTGATAACATGATTGCAACCAGCAGTTTGGAGCATGTTGGCCATAAGCTTTGCAGTGATAGGCGCACGGCTCTTGTCCTTCTTATCTTGACGAGCATATGGGAAATTGGGGATAACAGCTGTGATACGTCTCGCAGAAGCTGTTTTGCAAGCATTGATCATAATGAGCAGCTCCATCAGGCCGTCATTTATGTCGTTGGGCTTAGTAGACTGCAGAATGAAAACATCCTCATCTCGTACACTTTCACCAATGGTCACGCTCGTTTCCTGGTTGGAGTATTGGAGGACCATAATCTTGGTCAGTTCAATACCGAGGCTGATGGAATGAGCAAAAGATCATTAGCCAAAGAAAGACAGCACAGCATGCGAAAGCTTATTCAATGACAATGGATCGCGTACCGATCAGCCACAAGATTCGCAAGCTCAGGATGACTGTTACCAGTCAGGAGCTTGATGGAGTTGGCAGCCATGGTGTGTCGAGGTCAATTGTCGACCGGGTACAGAAAATGCGTTAATCAAAAGAGACAGGTTTGTTTAAACCAGGACCGGTGAATAGGACAATTGAAGAATTCTAAGGACTGAGGAGAATCAAACCCCAGAGTCAGACAAAAGGTGATAAATGCCCCGCGGCAACTTTTTTTCCCCAGCGGAAAAATCACTGCGTCCCGTGACCCCCCGGCTCGCTGCTGCTCACCGCCTACGGGGTGTGATCGAGAACATATTTGAAACATGCAGTAAGTAATTGGGAGATCTAGAAAGAAAGGGAAAAATAAAACACAACCCTAAATACATGAATGTGAAGTAAATGAGATGATTTTTCACAATGCCATATCGCTCTATTCCTGGCACACTAGTTGACCTGCACTTCAACCAGCTTCCAGTCGAGGTCTGAGATTTTCCTCCCTTTCGTAATACATGATCCGCCCCAGTAGCAATACAGACTAGGAAGAAGACAACAAGGAATAGTGTAGCTGAACGCCGCCAAATGCTCAAGCATTAGAACAGGGTGGGAAATGAGAAAAGATGCAAGATGAATCGCGTAAAACTAGTATTATCGCCCAAGCTGTCTTGAAGAGAGCACCACCACCAATCTATGCGAACCCGAAGTATTCGCTACCGGCAGTCATGGCAGTATACAGCCGTTGTCTCAGAGTCTCATAACTTTCGTATTCCGGAAGATCAAGCTCTGCCCCGCATGGTCAGTAACCTGTAATTTTGAACTTGATAGCGACAAATCGGATGACTTACGGTTGAAACATGTGTGCGCGCTTGGAAGGCGATCCTTATTGCCGTAATCGCGGTGAATGTTGAATCTACTAACTCCATTCATACCTTCAAGCTCCTTGAAGCCGTTGAGTGGCACCTTACTCGTTCCGGTGACAAATTGTAGCAGCTTAGCCCGCTCTTCTTTGTCAAATGAGCGAACGGCACGCCAGAACCACTGGATTTGAGGCGACGAGGCCGAGTAGTTGTGATACTCGGTATTAGCCTTCCAGTCGTCCACATCAATCTCGGGAAGGCCGGAAATCAACAACTCAAGTTCTTGTTCATTGAAAATCGAGATCAGATCTGCTGGGATGATCTCATGGAACCCTACAAACTTTTGTTAGCTGATATTTTAGATGACTTTTAGGGAGGGCGTAAGGTACCCTTGAGGAAATTGTCGAGCTGCTCCTTAACGGATCGCACGAGACGATAATCCACGACGCGCTGCACGTACTCCTCCTTGTTTTCTTGAGTGACCGGGATATTGCTTCCATTTTCCACAAGATCGATCACTTGCTTCTCGCCAAAGTCATCAGTCTCCACGGCGAAAGTTTCGGTGATGATGTCAGTGATATCGTTCTCGAGCATCCAGAGGAGAGATTTGTAGTAGTCGAGGTCGAGTGTCTCCATATCCTTGATAGATACCGAACGTCCAAGAATACACTTGTAGACAGCACGGCTGAAGTGACAATCGAGCACGCGGCCTTCGTACAGAGCTTTGCCAATGATTCGTCCAATGAACTTAAAGAACATAAGATGCTCCGAGTTCACACCGCTCAGGCGATTGGGGTGGAAGGTAGTCCGGTCGGCAGCAACAGGAATAAACAAAGCGTAGTTCGGATTGAACATGCCGCGTGCGAGAACTTGAAACCATTCTCTGGTCACGCCTCCTGCGTCAACACCCTCCTCACCGTGGAAGCGCACATTCAACTTGCCATACTTCAACTCATCCGCTGTCTTGAAGTATAAGGATTTGAACGAATCAAGAAACACTTGATCTCTCCTAACAGAGAGCTGAAGGGGAGGGTGAGGATGACGAGGCTCTGCACCACGGGAATGGATACGACGTGTGAAGTAATTGCGCTTGTTATCAAACTCCAAGACCTTCGGGTTCTTGACAAGCAAGGAGAAAGTGCCGCTCATTAACCTCGGGTTCTGACGAACAAGTTCGTTTAGTATCTTGCGATGTTCCTCCGTGAATTTGAAGAAGAGACTCTCCATATTCAAACCAGCGCCGATAGAAGTGCTAGATACAGACAGCTCTCGAGTATTCCGAGAAAGGGAAGTCTCTTTTAGCGAGGTGTTTTTGCAGACGACCATCAATGCTTCGATCAAGGGCAAGAGGATTGTTGCGACGTTCAGCATATTCTCCTTCTGCCGTATAAGGGTCAAGCATTCGCTCAGCCTCGTCCAGAGGGGCCCGAATGTAGAACTTTCGTACAAGGTCTGTAGGACATCCTCCTTAGCTGTCTGCTCGGAATCACCTCCCTTGGCCTTATCCGATCGACTAGGGTCAAACAAGTAGTCAAGTGCCGTCAACACACGTAACAGTTTCGCTTGATCAGAGCTAGCTGGAGAGAATTTAGCCAGAGCCAAGCCCTGCATGTCGGTGCCAGTCCGGGCTTGATTAATATGAGACAATAATTCATCCAGGTCCGTTAAGATAGTGGTGCTCAAGTCCTGTGCTTGATGTACTAATTCATTCCCAATCACATCCCTGGCCTTAGGGATAGCTGAAAGATTGTTAATTGTCGAGAGCGTTTCCCTAAAAGTTTTGCCGTTGCACTCGCGAGCAGCAAGAATATGGACAACAAGCTGCAGGTTGTGATCTGGAACAACTGGTGGCTCTATAGACTTCTTTTTATGTTTCTCATCTTCAGTCGAACCCTTTTCTGTCTCTGATTTAGAGGGTTCTGCTGATGTACCCTCCTCAGGCTGCGCCATTGCGCTTTGCGCTTCGGTGTTCTCTACACTGGGTAGAGGAGCATCTGTCATCGTTGTATCTGTAGCAGAGGTCGTAGGCTCTGCAGCATCAGGCGGTTGCTCCTGTTGCTGCTGCTGCTGCTCCTCAGTCGGTCTGTCATCCTCTGCTGTTTCAGGCTTTTTGCCCTTGTCTTCTTCCTCTTGCTTCTCCTTCTCACGGCGAAGTAGCAGGGTGAGCGGCTGTGTGATGCTGCTGAGGAGGCTAGAAAGCTGCTCCATACAATTCGGGCTTTCCATAATCAATTTCCGATCAAGAAGAGTAAGTAGCGCATTAAGGGCGAACTTATTAGCCTTGTTTTCCTTGCTCTTGCCTTTGCGGAAGGCCTTCAACTTCAATGTAGATGAAGGATCATGCTCAGTCAAGAAAAACCACGCGATATGAGGATTGTACTGAGACAGAAACGAAAGAGTCCCGAGGCATTGTTGTACCACCATTATTGGAGTCACTTCATTGCTGACACTCGAAGAGGTTTGGAAGGCCAGATTGCGCTTGACAGACTGCGGGGTCTTCTGGACCGAGGAAGGTTTGGCCCGGAGCGAAAGTTGAGCAAAACTGCGCTCGATTGCAGAAACATCTGAGCTTCCATCCTGCAAGACAGAAAGTAGAAGACTAATTACTTCAACCCGATTCTGACGGTTTTCACACACGTTATGCAGAATATCATTCAACTGATGACGTGCATTGCCCTGGAGTGGCATAAACATGAGGCGAAGCAATGTAGCAACACCAGCTTTGTCAAGCATTTGGACGATCTGACGCCGCTGTTGCTTCTTTGGTTCTTGTTCGTCGGTTGGCTCATTTCGTTGCCGATGATCAACTCTGGCAATATCACCAAATTGGGTCAGGCGCCTTCCAGGTAAAGCTCGTGCTTCGGTGACAAATTCCGGCCCCAGCGTTGCTAGTATCTCCTCGGGTTGGTCAGCGAGTACGGCTTGCCGTAATGAAGGGTCCAGGGTAGCAAGGAAACTAGCAGCATCCATGTCTTCAGCGCGGGTAGGAGCGCCACCAGAGGTTGCTTGTCTGCGTGCACTTTCCCGCTCCCGACGGCGACGGTCAGCAGCTTCCTGCTGTAACAGCTCTTCCCGAATCTCTGGGGGTAAAGCTTCCAGGAACTCCGGGTTAATCTCACTGGGCTCTTCGCCAGCTGCAGCTGCCTGAGAACGTTGCTCTGCAAGTTGTTGCATGATTACTTCTTCTCTAAGCTCCTCGGGCAGAGCCTCGAGGTACTCAGGGTCGATTTCCATCCCAGTAATGTCAAGCTCGCGACCTCTAATAGTAGTATGCACCCGAGGTTGAGGTTCAGACGGCCCCGTTTCTGCTTGGACTGGCAGTGTTGCAGCTTCAGCTTGTGCATCTGTCGGCTGCACATCGTCCATGGGCTCAGAAGTAACGCCTGAGGCTTGCCTTTCAGCTTCTTGCTGTTCCCTTTCTTGCTGTCGCCGAGCATTTTCTTCTTCTTCTTTCCGCTTCTGCTCCTTTTCTTCCTCTTCCTTGGCAATACGTTCTTGGCGTTCTCTCTCAACTAATTCTTCCTCTCGTCGCTTAAGCTCCTCCGCCATCTTCTTTTCTCGCTCCTTCTCTTCTTCAATAGCAGGAGGAACCAGTATTTTCAGCAAAGAGTTGACAACACGCTGTGTCTTTTCAACGTATGTGCTGCTAAACAAAATACGAGCCTCCTCCTGCCAGCGACTTCTAGTCGTTGCCAATGCAAAGCTCACAGCTTGGGATGGATCATCCCGAGTGCGAGAGGGTGGTGCTTGTGGCCTACCAAGCCCGAAGATATCTTGAATGCGGTTGGGCAAAATAGCTCGTCTGTCAACGTGAACATGGATTCCGTCTGGGCGCGTGATAACGCCAAAGCCTGGGGCACCTTGGCCGCCAATGGCCTGCATAATCGCATTCATGAAGCTCACTGGGCTGTCCATAGGGAGCAGGCGTCCAGTGGATACGGGTTCCATGCCATGAACCCAGTCGGTAAAAGCTTCATTGCCAGGTCCGCGAGATTGGCCAGCCTCGGGGCCACGGTCTGTCCGGACAAGAAGAGGGTTTGTCCCATCATCATTACCACGGGCAGGAATCTGAGTACGGTGGAATCGGTAGGGTTGAATAGGAACGATTCCATGCCGGCCGCTGCTGGGCATTATACCTGTAACCGCAGCCCATCCTGGCTGAGGACCACGGTAGCGGTGATGATGGTGTCCACGGGGCATTGGGGCCTCGTCGCCATCCCAGCCCCATGGTTCAATGAGGTCTTCATCTATACAAGATCTTTAGCACGCCTCATTTCACATTGTAGTCGATAGATGAAACTTACCATCGTCAAAGCCTTGGTAAGATCCTTGATCTTCATCGGCATCTTCAAGTTCCTCCTCAAGCTCATCGATTTCTTCATCTTCTTAGTGAACGTTAGTAATCAAAATCCTGCGTACAACAATACTGAACGATACTGACCATCATCATCGTTCAAATCATCGTCAACAATGTCATCAAGACTGTCAGGAGCCTGAAGATCCTCAACACCTCCGGCAGCTTCATTAAGTACCCGGAACAAATCATCAAATCTCTGCCCTTGACGCTGATCCACTTGCCTGATACCATCCAGCTCGTCCTCTAACTGATTCATGATCTCAGCCTCTTCATCATCTTCGGACATCTCTTCACTCTCCCATTCATCATCATCACCTTCCTCTAAGCTCTCATTGTCTTGATCCCCTGTTATCTCTCCAGCGAGGATCTCATCGTCCTCCATATCGGAGTCATCTTCGTCTTCATCATCATCATCATCCTCATCATCGTCGTCATCGTCATCATCAATGACAACCTCTATGTCCATGCCGGAATCGCCAGGAAGGCCCTCAATGGGACCAACACCCTCGATCTCGTCTTCATCATCACTTACGACTTCGCCATCATCTTCGGGCAAGTCTTCCTCGTAATCCATTTCGTCTTCATATTCGTCGTCATACATCCCATCATCTTCTTCATCCGATTCTTCGGAGCTAGTTTCTTCTTCATGACGAGGCTCTAACATGCCCAGGGTGGAATGACGGAAAAGGTCAGGGGTCTCTTCGCGGTCATCTTCCAGATCAGAAACTGAGGTAGCAGAGGATATTTCATCTTCCTCCGTTTCTCCGAGAGTAGAGATATCTGACGTTTCACTCAGGATCACAGCCGTTTGCGTAAGTTTGTTAAGAGGCCGCAGTATGTACTTGATGACCCGTTTAGACGCAGGGAAATTCAGATCAATTTCAGCGACTGAGGATGTGAGAGCGGCAATGAAATTCTTCTCGAACATCGTTTTCGCAAGTTGCCTGGTCGAGGATGGGAAGGCTGTATCTCCGGAAACGAAAGCATAACCACTAAGCATTTTGTCAAATAAATCGGCCAGTGACATCAATCTAGAATACTTGGTATCCAAGGGTTCGTTTGACGTATTCGCCTCCTTGTATGCTCGTAGCGCATGCTCTAGGACGAACCTCCGCACGAAGGCAAGCTCAGGCTCGTCTTCTTCATTCGAGTTTTGCTCGCTTCGGCGTCTGCCAGTGCCACCAAACTCGCCGGTTTTCGTGCACAGCGCTACAAGCACACGCATCGTCCAAGCCGATGTGTTGGCGCGCTTCTTGAACGCCACAGACTCATCATGCTCCATGGTACCAATGGGGACGAGAGCATTGAGCAGGTAGTTCAAGATACCCGATCGAGGTTTCGAAGGAGTAGTTGCAAGTGGATCCGCTTTGCGAGAGAAGTTGATAAACTCCACCTTGGTCCGGTTATACGACGAAAGAAGCTCAGTTAAGCATTGAAGAAGAAAGCAGCGGTATATATAGATCGGGTGGTCATCCGCCTTGAACGCCGGTTTCTCTGCTTTCTTAGTGTTACGTGTGGCCTGCAAATCAGTGGTAGAAACAGAGGGTGAAGGTTCATCAGTAGCCATCTCCACATCAGTTTGGGTTTCCGATTGTTCAGGCGCAGATGTTTCTATAGCCTCTGTCGAAGGTTCCTTGTCATCTACATCCTTGTAAGATAGAAGCTCCGAAAGCAGATAGTGGATGACGCCATCAGGATTCTCTACAACAGGCGGTTTTAACTCTGGCCCTTTGCCCTTGTCTTTATCCTCCGGCTGGGCATCGGCTGAAGCCTGGCTACCACCTTTCGCGTTTTCGGCAGTATCATGGGCCGTTTCTTTGTCCGAGCCAGTATTCTTATCAGATTTCAAGGTGAGAACCTGTGGGCGTTGCCGGCTATCATATCGTTGCAGTTTCAGTTTTTCGTTGGAGACTTCCACAAACAATTCCGGCGACCTGAGGACGAGGTGATACATCTGCCGTACGAAGCCGGTTGTGTCGATCTGGCGAGAGGATTTCGATTCAAAGTTCGCGACGATCTCACTTCTCATTATTTGTCGAATGGTGTCCTCGTCTTCGACTATGTGTCTTAAAATCAACATGAATGCACCCTGGAGCTTTTCATTTGTGGTGCTTGAAAGCTGCTTCATCATCACAAAAAGGCGCTGTAAGCTACGCTTCTCACCCAGGCGGGTGGCAATGCTGCGATTTCGAGTTAGTATAACAAGAACTCGACAAACAGAAAGTGCTAGGGTGTCATCCTTTCCAACTCTGGGAAGAATTTCGACAAGAGCCTCGAAAAGCTGCGTCTTCTGTTCATTGGAAATAAGAGGCTCCTCTAACTGAGCGGGAGTATCATCCTCCGCGCCTGGATTCTCATTATCAGGCATATTCCATCGAATTTGGGGAGGTTGAGCGTCGTCAGAGAGTAGTTTTTCCAGGGCCAGTAGGACATGCCCGATCCACGGGAAGGACTCATCCGAAGACTTCTCGGAAGGCACAGAGATAAACCCGAGGAATGTAGTGAAACACTCCTTCAGTTCCTCCAGTGTAGCGTTATACATGTCTCTATCTTGGACTACTAGCGCGAGGAGATGGGCATAAGCAGCCACCTTCTTCCCAGCTGCTTGAAAGTTCTCCATTTGTAAAGAAACAAGAGATTGGACAAGGATCTCCCCAACCTCCTTCCGGAAGCTTTCAGGATCACGGTGCTTCTTCGTCGCAGAAGCGATCAAGTCAGCCAATTCGAAGGACACGTCATGGTGCTCATTTAGGACATCTAGACAGCGCTCAATCAGGTTCGACCGGACTTTCTCACGCTCCCTGTCTAAATCTTCGACCGTGGTAACTTCGTGTCGTCTTGTCGGTTGTTCCGTTCGCTGCTCAGAGGATGGGTCTATCGGATGGTTTGAAGGCTCTGAAGGATCTCCCCCGCTAGGATTGAGGTTACGGGTGTTACTGATAGAGGAATCTTCCCGGTCGCTGTCGACTGCGCTATGGTCATCGTTGAGAATATGACTCAATGCTCGAGCTAGGAATTCAGAGCCATGTCTGACTTCGGTTTCGACTGGCGCCCCCTGGTCTTGTTCCTGACGAGGCATGTCATCCGATCGGCCAGAAGCTTGTGCTATAAGCATTGCAAGTGTCGAACGGTCGAGGAACCGGTTCTCGAAAGGCGAGGCGTCTCCAACGACCGGGTCTTCGGAGGACTCACCACCTGATGTTCGAACAGACTCGATGTCGTTAGGAGGTGGTGGTATTCTCGGAGCAGGTAGTAACCAGTCTTGTGCCTTGCAGTATTCTTCAGCTGGGGCATACTGATTGTTGCAGCGGTACAGGGCCTCCTTTACAACTTCTAGATCGAAATCTTTTGCCTGCAAAGCGGTGACACGATCCCTGTTGATAACTAGTTTCCTCCTAGACACCTCAGCCAATGCGGGTGGTAGATTAGAGCGCTGAGCGGCCCCCGTTTCATATTCGCCGTCGAGCGATGAGCGCAAAATATCCACCAAGCACTTGATAACGGAACTTGAAGACCGGGTAGCAAAATCAGAATTCCACAAATCCCGAGCCATTGGCAATATTTCCATCCGAAGATCAACCAGGAATTGGCCAGGTTGGAAGTAGTCGGGACGGTCCCGGTCCCGATCACTGCTCGTCATGGCCTGAGTTTGACTAGACTCGACAATGTTCTTGCCCGAGGCAAGCTCAGAGAAAAAGCTAAGTATTATCTTGATACCTCCATAAGCAGATGTAAGTCGAGCTGACACGTCCTTCTCAGAGTCAGGCACCGATTCAGGAGGTGTGAGAGTCTTGACCTCACGCACGAAGACGTCGCAGATATCTTTCATGGCCTTCAAACCATGGATTCGTTTGAATGCGAAGAGAACGAGAGTGAGATAATGAGAATGCGGGCGATCTGCAGTAGCTGGATTAAAGTAGGGTTATCAGTTTCTGATCTAGTCTTCTAATAGAGAGATAGCATACCTTCAAAAAGCAAATGCGAGAATGAGGACAGGATGACAATCAGGTACGCAAATCGGAGCTTGTGATTGCCGCTAGTATTCGGGGGCGTGAACTGGAGTTGCTCGAGCACAGCGCTGGCAATGGCCTCAGCCACCGAAGTTGCATTCTGCTTCTGGTAGAGATCTATCCGCCGCTTTCCAATAAGACCAAGGCCCAAGTTATGGAAGAAACCTGTTATTGAAGAAGGCAAGGAGCTAAGAAGGTAGCGAAGCGCTTGGACATTCTTAAAAGCTACGCTACTCTCGGGGGCGTTGGAAGAATCTCCTCTGGGCTCCTGAGTAACACCTGATTGAGCAGGCTCACTCGCAGCCGAACTTTCGCGAAGGGGCGCAGGCACAGCTAAGCTTGGTTCTGCATTTGCGGGCCCCGAAGATTCATTGGGTTTTTCTGAACCCGGACCAGGTAGCTGCACTTTCGTTGCCTGGTCCCAAGTGTCAGGTATATTCTTCTCTAGTAGAATTTCCTCCCACACGCAAGCCGCATGCAAGCCCCCAAGTCGTCCGATAAGAGAACAATAACGATCGGCTAGATTGACTTGTGCAAATGCAGAAGTCTGCTGGCTGGGTCGGGTCTGATATAATGGCATGGAGTAAACTTCGCGGAGAAGATCCGTTAAGATAAGTGCAGCTACCATATTCTTAGCGAAGTATGTCCCATTATCTTTAGCGAGTTCCCAGGACTTGTCGTCTTGATCCTTGGACTCTCTCTCAAGAGGTGGCTTGATCAGAGGAGTGAAGAAGCCTGATTCCCGAGGTCCCGACAAGCGCCAGAACTCAGATAGTTGTTCCACAATCTGCTCTGCGCGATCAACAAGCCCGGGCAAGACAAGGTGAGGCTTCGTTTCCGCCAACATGTGCACCAAAACAGTGAGCTCCTGGTTAGCGTCAGTGTTATGGAAATCGAATGGAAGACTCTGCAGAGTCGCAATATCCAAAACGAATTCAACACCACCACATTCGATAAAGTAGGTGCAGTTCGATTGATTTTCAAAGAAAGCACCTAAGAATCGTAATACGGGATAAAGGTAGTCTGTAACAGTGAGGCCCGTAGAGTCGACGTCCTTAGGTTCAATGTCACTATTAGAGGCGGGGAGAACATGGCTTAAATCGCCGGTTTTCATGGTGCCACCGTCTGGTAATGCCCCAGATTTGATCTCCCGAATACCAAGATCCGACGGTGCAATATCCCCAGCGACTCTCGTGCCACCAATCCTTCGAAACAGGTGATATGCTGGACCGGAAAGGACCGGCTTTCCCTGGGAGTTATCTTTCCACAGCTTGGATCCCATACCGTCCGACCAAGCCTTACTCCTGCACAAAAAGCCAACACGTGCGACCATCACAATGACGGCAGCCATGATTGTTGACTTCAGCGCAGGATGATGTCGCACTAACTCATCAAACGTGGTCCCTAGCGAGCGTACGAGATTGGGATCATCTTTCAGGCATTTCACATGCTCGGGGTTTTCGAAGATTTCGAAAAAGCTTTCCAGTGCGTGGGATGACTGAAAGAGTTCAAGTCCAGATGAGTTAAGGCAAATAGCTCCGAAAGCCGAAGGAATGCATGATAAAGCTTCCGCTGCGGGCATGATACCCAAGGCTAACTTTACATCCTTCGACCTTGCCAGTTCATACTCCCGGGTCTTCTGTGGCTCACTACCCGACTGCCTAGTCTCGACCTCGGACAATCTAGCGGATGATTCCCCTTCAACTTCAGCACCCTCGGTATCAATAGGTAGCTTCTCTTGCGCCTTTATGTCACTGTGTGTGACAGCTTGTAAGAAGCTCTTGCTCAAACCAGCTTCAGCAATGACTGCATAACTGGTGGGCTCGTTGTGAATGAAACTGCTAAGGATATTGACTGCATTGCTCCAGACATGAGATCCAAAGACACAGGCGTTCTCAAAGACCAAACGAAGGGACGTCAGCAGTTGAGGGGAGTCAATCAAATTCCGAAGGACCCGATCAAAGCCACCGCCATTATGCTGCATGATATGATTGACGAACCGGAACATCCACCTGAGAGTCTGCTGCTGGAAATACGGGATCTGATAATCAATTGATGGGGTCTTGTGGTGAGAAGGGATTCCTGCGCCGCGGGATACATTCTCAAAGGAAGTTTTGGTTTCGAAATCGATTAAATCCGAGATTGCGTCAAACCCCTTGGCTGTGGTGAGAGTCCCAAGCGCATCACGAACCGCGTGGACAAAGGTATCGAGGAATTCCATAATTCGAGAATAAACACGACGAGCTTTCTCAGTTCGGAGGTTCAACACATCGACAAACATCGGAATTAGGCCAGCAGAAACAAGGGTCTCCGGTGTCCTCGTGCTTGAGCCTGGAAGTGTTCGCAGAAGTGCAAGTAACGCATCCCGCCACTCATCCTGACTACCATCATCCGTCTTATTGTCTTCTGAGCCTAGTTCATTGACAGCCTTCCGGGTCAGGAACATGAGAACACCATGGTTTACATTAACGCTTAACGCGGCACAGACGTCGATTGCTCGTGCTTTGTGCTTAGCCAAAGAGTCAAGAGCCTGGAGCACCAATGTCTGTACACCTCGGGAGACTGAAAGATCACCACTTGCGCCTAGATGAACCAGCTCGCCCAGTTGAAAAGCCAGCTGCAGACGTTTTGGCTGTTCCATATCGTACTGGAGGATCTTCTGTTGAAATAGCGACTCGGGATATACGTATGCTAAGTTGGTAATAGCAAGCACTCTGATTGTAAGAATCTGTTCGCGGCTAGAAGGAGATGTTGCCAGCCCCTGTGCCGTCCGAATTCTGTGGAGCAGATCATACTTGGAGTCTTCAGGTAACTCTTCTGCATGCGATGCAACAAGACTATCGGGTGTCGAGGAAGAGATCCTAGAGTAAGGAATATCAAGAACCTTCCCGCCCCTTGTCACTTCTTCCAGTTTCCCTGAGGGGGTATTCGCGGCAGAGCTAGGAGAATCCTCCATGATCGATGTGCGGCTCAAACGAGGCGTGGGGTGGGTATGACTTCTACGCAGAGGTGTTGGTGTGGTGGGAGCTTGCGTCGGCAGCCCACCATGTACGGCCTCCGACGTCGCCTTCGCCTGGTCTGAAGTGCCAGACGGATAATAAAGCAGATGTACATGACCCCACTCTTCCCAGCCCTCACTTTCGCGCACAAGCGTAACTAGGTCGTTGGCATCGTGCTTGGTTTGGGGTGGTTTCTCCTTGCCCTTAACGCCAACAGGAGGGGATACAGGTGTCTTGTTGGATACGGAAGGGCGCGGGAAGGGCGCAGCAATCTTTTGCAGTTTTTCCAGATCGATGTTAAAGTGGGCTGCCAGCAGGCTCTGTTGGAGGTGGGTACTACCCCGCTGGCGAGAATGATATCGTTGAGCCAAAGAGAGTGACAAACGAAGCGTAGACTGAAGGAGACAGAGTGACGTAGTATTCAGAAGTTCCCCTAGCCGTTCGCTGCTGCTATACAGGCTGCGATTACCGCACTTATCCAACAGTAATCTGGAAAAGTCGAGAATTGCTTCCAAGAGCTCTCTGTCACCCTCTACACCATAGCCAAGAGCGGTTAGCTTAACATCGATATCCTCCGGGCCTGGCTTGTTGTCATCGCTTGCATATGAGTCCACTAGAACATGTCTGCTGAACGGCTTAGTTTGAGGGCCATTATTTAAACCATATTTCTCATTGGCGGCAGCCAAGATCTCGTCGAAGCGGTTCAGGACATTGATCCAATGATATAGATCACCTCTTGGGAAAGGCCATAAGCGAGGAAAGGTGTTGAGATGTGAGGGAAGCTCAGGGACGGGTATAGTTGTAGCACGAGATACGAAATCTGACAGATAAGGGGACTATATTGACAAGAAAAAAAATTTCAGGTCAGCTTTAAGACAGCACGGCAAGGCACGTAACTCACGATCGTAGCCTCATGTTTTTGGCTCGCCACCTTCTTAATTCTCCCCATGATGACGTTTAAATCAACAGGTAATCATGAGGGAGCTGGAAATGAACCCTAGGAGGATTCCTCCTAGTTGAGGGTGGGGAGGTCGTCAAGACCGAGAACGCGGAGAACGTTGCGAGGCGCCTTATGACGTTTTGGGTACCTCTTCTGCCTCAACAAAATCAAAAGAGCGAAATGAGACTCTGGGATAGCTGTAACCAAGAATCTCGAGATTGTAAGTAGGGGAAATAGCGAATGTAGAGGTAGAAACCGACGTGGTCGAAGAGGTTATACCCGGATAAGTTCAAAGGACTAAAAGAATATGATGAGGTGGGTGTTGTTGCGGCTTTCAGTTAGTACGAAGTACCGCTGGGCGTCAGAAGAACTGGGAAACGGTGCAGGTCGTTCGCCCTGTAATATTTGACATCCAGATGAATTTAAACAGTATTGAGCCGCACACACAGTGAATCGGGGGGAGGGGTGTTGGTGAGGGAGAGGACGTGGGCGAGGTTTGGATGGGGGTATGAAAAGAAAGATGAGTAAAGAGTTGGAAGGTTCGTGAAATTATCCCAATAATGGAGCTTCTTGTTCAGGTTCTCTCCCGTTGTGGCTCATTCACCTGGACCAGTGGTAAACTTACAGTCAGAACCGGAGCGGGTCTTCTTCCCCGCCGAGACAACAAGTCAGCCCTGCACTACTTACAACTTTACTAACTGTTACTTAACTACTTTACTGCCTAGAAACTAAACATTTGTATACTTACTTCCAATTTTCGGACGGATTCACTCTCATCCGAATATGCCAGCAAACAACCTAATTGACTTAATTTGGCCGGGAGTCGCTACTAGTAGTACACTCCTCATACACTGTATCTTGTATTCGTTCAGTTTGATCTCAATTACTTTCATTCCTGGTATTTCAGGCCATGCATCATATATATTCACGTCACTACCCCTCATCCCACCGGAATCCACTTTACTACCTCATATTTCATGTATCCTTATGCTCTCATCCTTCTCCCTTTCTCTTTTCTCCCTACAAGAAAGTTAAATGGGGCTCAAAAAAGCAACAGCAAACTACGTATAACACTCCCACCTACAGCCAATTCAGCCGGGAAAATCTCAACTTATCTTTCGTAGTGCCTTACTGTACAACCAAATAATGATTTAATAACACGGTCAATAGTACAACAGTGCAGCAATTTCAGTATTACCCGAGGGAGGCTTGTTGTCAACATTACGCTCATCACAGGCCAGACCTTACCTCTCCACTCGCGGCAATTCACCATCCCATTGAACCTTCATGCTCGTTGGGAAGGGGGAAAATCCGCTTTGGTCTGGAGTCATGTACTTTGCAATTCCACCAGGCCCAGACAACCTTTTCAGCTGCCCCTGAGGCCCTGGGGCACGGCGCAAATTATCCAAGCGTCCGATGACCTTGAGCATGGTGGTAAGCGCTAGCTTACAAAGCCCAATACCTAAACACTGATGTGGACCAAAACCGAAATGAGCGTAGAGATCCATATCGCGGTCAAGCCTGACCTTATCAGGCTCTGGGAAACTTGTCGGGTCCATGGAAGCGGAAACCTAGAAAAGTGCAAACAGTAAGTTGTCTGTGCCCGCAATAGTCGTGTTTTGTGTCCTTTAATAGGTATTGGCCTCACTCACCAAATTGCAGAGAATGTGTTGCCCTGCCTTGAGGTTTAGCTTTTCGCCGTTGTCTTCAACAACAGTGGGCTTGGCCACCATCCGAGGTAGTCCCACGGAAGACCGTAACCGAGCGCCTTCCATGAAGCTTCATATGGTTAGTCGAGAGTAAGGAACCTGGGGCAGGGTTTCATACTATCTTAACAGTAATTCGTCCGTTTCCGGCGCATCAACCTTCGCCAGCCGTTTGATATCAGGCAAATGGACCGAGCCTTCCTCCGAAAGGTAATAGTCAAGACACTGTGAAAAAAGCTGCGCCTGGTTTGCTACCATCCCCCCAGCCGTTGGCAGAATATGAGTCCATACAATCTCATCCGCTGGCAGTCCACTGGCAAGGAGGCGTTGGATCATATGGACACCGTATTCGCTGAGCACGTCATGTCGGTGTAAACTACTCACTAGGTTCGCAATGAACCCAGTATTGTTGACAAGCTCGACATTAGCCATTGCCAACTGTCCAAGCTGTTGCGTCACTTCCCGGGCAGCTTGGTTAAGTTCAAACGAGTTCGCAGGATCCGCATCGTAGAAGATTGAGGTGAAAACAACAGCCATGATTTGGTAGAGCTCGGATTCCGTGAAGACTCCCCGCGGGTTAGATTCGGTTTTCAAGGGCAATGAGAAAACATTTGCGCAGAAATTAACCTGAGCGGGATTTGCAATGTCTCGTACAATGTCAACTTGATTGACCCCAGCAATCTTGTAAGAATTCCTGTCCAGAAGTTTCAGAGTTATGTCCTCATAGAATGACTTGACTTCATTTTCCCATCTCTTCCGGTACAAAGCAGCTCCCATCATTTTGCGCGATGCGGCATTCGGAAGCCTATCCCCGGACAACATAAAGTCTCTGCCAAAAGGCTGTTTGCCACGGTGCATCAAAAACTCAATCTTTGAGCCCCATGTGACCTTGAATGTCTCTTGATCAGACAATATTGACATACAAGCCGAATGAGAGTTAATAAACTTAGGTGGGGGAGTGTAACCAGGCTTGTCCCAGCTGTATTTCTCGGCAAACCCAAGCTTTGTCAGTATCTTCTTGTTTTCAGATGGAATAACCAAAGGGAGATGTGCGTAGATTGAGTTTCCCTTGAAATGATTCGGGAATGCCCGCAACACAAGCTTATAGAACACTTGGCCTTGATCGACTGAATCTTTAGGTTCAATCTCGCTAAAGGCCCAATTTGTAAGATGCCTCGGGGTGAAATCGACCGTGTAGAAGCGATCGCCTCGAACCAAGGCAACTGCGTCGGAGAGAATGGCTCTTGAAATTGTGAAGTTGGTACACAAGCCACTTCCAGGGATCACGGCTTCCTTGGTATCCTCGACGATAACACCGGGGTAGATCTCCACATGGTCTGGGTGATCATACAGTCGCTTGAGCTGATCAGATATGAAAGGGTCAGGATTGATCTCCTCGAAAGTTTTATAAGGGGTCAGGTTAAAGTAGTTCCGGAACTCGTTCAAGGTAGCCAAATTCCAGGAGCGAGCTTGTTTAATACCCAAAGCTTCGATGCTTTTGAAGATCGTTGGAACATTAGATGCACCAAATGCGCCTACACAGTCCTCAACACTGTCCTCAAAGATTTTAACGAGACAGTCATCGTCAAAGGATCCATCAGGCTTGCGCTGTAAGCCAGCAAATGGACGATCTTGGGGTTGCTCTGGAAGATCTGCCTCCCATTTTCCGAGACCTCGTACAAACTCCTGCAGGGAGACACTGCTCGGGTCCCTTCCAGGAAACATATCTTTGTACAAATCTTCCGTCCACTTCTCGTCACGCTGGGAAATGCAAGAATGCCATCTGTACACGAGGTTGAACTCAGCCGAGACTTGGTTACCTGTGGCCTGAGCGGCTGCTTCGCCGAGCAAACCATCCTTCATTTCAGCACGAGGATCCAAGCTCCAAAGGCTGTCAGTTCGGTTGACGTTCAAGATTGTTCGGACGTAGTCTTTGAGGATTATGTTAACATAGAGGCCGCAGGTTACTAGCCGACCGGTCTGGAACAGGTCGTTATCATATCTTGCGTATTCCTTGGTGTTTGCTTCATCCGGCTTGGTGAAACGGCCGCCTTCGTTTATTGACGCCAGCTGCTCAACGACGTAGTTGTGAAATCGGTTAAACATGATCAATATTACGCCAATACCCGGGGGGAACCCGAGTACACGCTTAGTGGAGAAACAGTCCGGCTTGAGCTTTCCATCCTTGAAGGTTCTGACAAGGTTCTGCTCGTCTTGGTTATTCCCATACAGCGGCGAAAGATCGAGATATGAAGATGTTAAGGAAATCGTGTCGTCGTTGCGGTCCGTTTGAAATAGATCTCGGTAAATGTTAGATAGAAATGGGCGATGAGCGTTATTGGCCGCTACTCACCATGGATAATAATGGAGGCGATGTAGAACAGAATACTAGAAATCTTGTTTGGGTGTTCCTTGAAATCTTTGCGTGCCAAAAGCGAATCGAAAAGCGTTTCTGGGTCCGGGAGCGCAGGAGATTGCAATGTCTTTGGCCGAACGGATCTCGCGTAATGAGAGCGAGCAGCTCCAATATGAGGCCACAAAACGTTCTTTTTAGCATTAGCAAGTACTCTACTCCAAGGGGGGGGTAGGGAAGGTTTACATTGCCTGAACCATCTGCTTCTCGATACGAGTATTCGCGGCCAAGGTACCTGCCTTCATTGTTAGGACATGCTCACACGGCTCATGTTTTAACGACCAACGTACGAAACCGGGGGATGTTCCAAATCTTTCCATAGCTGGTTGAGGAAGGCATTTGTCAACTCCTTTCCGACCCGAGAGGTGGAAGGAAGTGCAGAGGTAAGCTAGAATTAAGATTCTCATTAATACAAGACGCGACTACTCGTCCTAACGATTGCGGCAACAAACCTGGATCAATCGCTCCATTATATAATGCTTATCATTGAGAGGCTCTCCCGTGGTGGCATTTTTGGTGAGTTCCACGATCGTCTTGACATCGCTGAAATCCATACGGCCCAGATCTCTGACAATTCCCGTGCTATTTGACTCCTTCACATAAGATCCATCCCCTGTTTCGGTGGGCAGCGGCCGTAGTGATGCAGACACGACCTTTTCAAGTTGAGAAACAGTCTTTCCTAGTCCATTGATCACACCACCATTACTCTCTTGCTCTGTCATTGTGAAGAAGAAGAGCACAGAGGACTATCCACAACCGTCGAAGCAACAGAAACCAGAAGAAATGGCAAGTATATTAGCTGCTATTGAATATCAGTGCTAATGAACTCAAAAACAACGGTAGCTCCTGTCCCTCCATTGCCTTCCTTCCTAAGCAAAGGAAGAAGAGATAATCATATGGTTGTCGTAAAGATTGAGCAAAGTCAGAAGACAAATAGAGATGCATCTTAATGGCACGAGGGGCTCATAGTCACCCACCTATATCAAAAATCCAAGCAAAAGATCGCCCAGAGCTTCGAAGAACCTAAGAAATAAAACGGGCGCGACGCTGGTAGTGACCGATTTAATAAAGATACAATGAAGCAGCTACCGAACTCCCAGAGGGAAAAAGGGGAATCTACTCATGAACCGTGGTATTTAAACGTAAGACAGGAGAGATAAATAAAAAAGAACAGGAAAGGTTTCCTGTAACCGGTTTTTATATGGCCACAACCATAAGGGCCTAGTTCTCCTCGAAGGATTACGGTGCGGCTGAAGAATTAGAATCAGCTCAAGATGGTCAGCTCCGATGTGATTTGGATTTATTAGAAAGCATACAGCCAACTGTTCGCCATCTCTCCTCCCTTGACAAGGAGAGCCCCACTGGCACACCTGCCAGTGGGATGGCGTTGATTTGATTCGCGCACGGAGTATACGAGTCGACGGCTGAGGAAGACTAATAATACGACCTTGCCATCTATGGCGGAGTAAAATCCACGCAGGCCGTGGGGAATTCTAGGCCGAAACTAAAGAGAAAAACCACAGTACCTTGGAGCCCGAAAAGCCCCCCTGTATCCAAGGTTCACCATGAACGGCTCTGTCTGCTAACTATTGGATCAAATTGGTTTGTGGGACTGGGAGGCCCGATCTGCGACTTGGGAGGGTGTTCAGCAAGGTGGCGCAGAAACGCAACCGGAAATTTGTCTGTGGTTCCATTCATATTTATTGCTCTAAGTAGGTGATTGATGGTTCGTCGGCATTGCCAATTCTCACGGGTTGGCCAATTGTGACCTGAGAAGACATGATCATGATATCTACACTCCTTTGCATGTTACAGAAGCCGTCATAGGCGTCTGACACAAAACATTAATTTTCTTAGTTTAGCATTAGGTACCAAACGAGGGCCAATCATGTGACACCGATCATGGCTGGCTGAACTGACTCGCCTAAAGGACAACTATCGTTGTAACCCGCCTTTCTTACGGAGGCAACAGGAGCTGAATATTAAGTGATATCCATCCATAATTAGAAGATATGCCATAAATACACGGGATACCTCGGAAGAAAGCCTTCAATGGGTAAGCTGCGTATTTTTGCTTTTGTCTCTTAGTCTAGTGGTGGTCAATGCATGGTCCAGAGTATTTCGGTGATAGTATTACTACGGAGTACTCGGAGTAGGAGATTCATACCCTGCACGTCCCTGATCTGCAAGATGCTTCCTCCCCCATATGACTCCAGTCTTCGAAGCATTTTCTCAATCGCCTGACGTGCCATCACTTTGTCTTGACTCTTCAAAGCTCCTGGAAAGTTTAAGTGGTTGTTTCTTGGCGTTTCCCCACCTTCAAGCTCTCAACTTTAAATTTTAATTTTCCGTCCTCAACATTTACCAAAGCCGAACTGTTGATGTCATGTGACTACCGGTCGAGCCGAGGTCAATTGACCTATCACCAATCGTGTCTTGATGTTCTTCCCCCTCGAAATATTTGATATTGGTCATCGCCTAAACTGCATTCAGTTGTCAACTTGCGAGTTTAGTCCTTGAATCTGGGTATCTAGACGGCACATCTTGAATTTCAATAATGGCGCCAGCAAGTATTACATTAATTGTTGAGCCCCGGGGTATGTATGCCTCCTGCACAGGCTGCCAGTCATTGGCACCAATCTTATATGCCTCACATCTCCCTACACATACTTACTCTACTAGGCAAACCGATCAAGAAACTCCCTAAGGAAATTCAGATCAGCCCCAATGCTCCCGCTCAGGACATCTACACGGCGCTCGCGGCGGCCTCCGGCTTTTCCATTCATCGCCTAAGAATTACTAAAGGAAGTGACCGCAGTGTAGTACCTAATTCGAAAGAGACCAAAGTCGATGATACCGGTCTAAAGGAGAGAAGTGTCGTCCATGTTAAGGACCTTGGTGTGTGAAAGTGCCGCTTCGGATCGTTATGTGCAACAAGCTAACACAATCTCTAGGCCCTCAAATTGGATGGCGTACCGTATTCATCATTGAGTATTTCGGCCCTCTGGTTATCCCTGCTCTGTTCCTCTACCCTCTTCGTCCATATCTCTATTACAACTTCGACAAGCCACTTCCCGAGCCATCCTACCTTCAGCAAATGGTCTGTGCATTATTGTCCATTCATTTCCTCAAGCGTGAATTCGAGACTATCTTCATCCACCGCTTCAGCAATGCCACGATGCCAGCACGCAATATCTTCAAGAATAGCGCACACTATTGGGTCCTGGCTGGCTTGAACATTGCCTACTGGGTTTTCCGTCCCGACGCATCTGCAGTCAGCGAACTGAACCCTGCTCTTCTCTATGCTGGTCTCGGCCTCTTCGTTTTTAGTGAACTGGCCAATTTGAACTCGCATTTGGTGCTACGTGACCTGCGCCGCCCGGGTACCACAGATAGGGGTATCCCCTCAGGATTTGGATTTAACCTTGTCACCTGCCCGAACTACCTGTTCGAGATCATGGCCTGGATCGGTGTCTATCTCGTTAGCGGTCTCAGCTGGAGCGTGCTGTTCTTCATTGCCGTCGGCGGTGCGCAGATGGCCGCGTGGGCTAAGAAGAAGGAACGCCGTTACCGTAAGGAGTTCGGTGACAAGTACAAGCGCAAGAGCTTCGTTATGCTTCCTGGTCTTTTTTAGATTTCACGAAAAGAGCTCAAATCACGTACTTGTGAAAGACTGTGGTGAGGTACGGCTAGCCCTTACCATGTTGCCCCCCCCCCCCCCTAACCACTCCGAACCTGGTAACTCTCATGTACATTGTTTTAGATAGAGCCGTCGCAACAGCAGTCCGTGGCAGGGGACAGGTGTTTCTGCTAGCATGATGAGAAACTACTAAAAAACTAATCATGACCGGTAGCACGGACTTTTTGTTGTCTACTCATAAGTTCCGACTGTACGTTTACTCAAGGTACTTCTTTCCAAAAATTCAGAAATAGTTATTTAGTATTCGTTATATTAAACATCCAAAGCTAGCAAATGAAAAACGCTCTATATGGCAAAGGTGCCTCCGGCTCCAAAACACCAGCAAACCAAGTCGCAGGGATCCGCCCAGGACGCAAACTTCTGGGGCAGTCCGTATATCCTCTGTTAATGAAACTTAGTGCTCAGACGTACAAGGCGATCAATCATTTTTGAGTTTTTTGCTCCATAGACGGTAATATGGCTCCATCTCTTTCTCGCAATTTCGCTTCGTATCTGTGTCACATCCGAAGAAGCGAATGACCAAGTCACCGTCCTTATAGTTTCCATCCGCGCCTGCGCCCAACGAGTCCTTGCTGTATGCGTTGATTGTTCGCTGAGGAACCAAGGCTAGTCTGGCCAGAATAGTCGGGTGCCACTGGAGGATATGATCCTGAAAAAATGACTGCCGTTAGCGTCTGTGTTACAAGCGGTCGAGCGACCCGATACGGAGCTAGGATAAATATTACCAAAGCATGTGTCTCGGCCTTGGCGAAGTTGTAGCTGCGATACAACGGATCGAACCATATGTCGAGGAATGTCTGCGCAAACTCTCCCTTTTTGATGACGAAGCTTCCGGAACTAAGACTCTCGCTGTCTGTGCTGAGAATGAGGTCTACATCCTGGGGCTGTAGATGCGAAAAGGTCTTGATTATGCTATCCGGGGGGACGACGGGGACGTCCTTGAGCATCAGCGAGTCTAGACGACTCTTTTCAAGGAGATGCGACTCCAGTGATTTGCTCGGGTTCATGATCAGCGCATGCGCGTCGAGGTAGAAGAAGTGCTTCGAGTACGGATGGGCAGCCATCGCATGTCGAACGGCTGGGACGACGCCCCAGCTTCGCGGGGCGCTCTCTAGTGTAGGTTCGTAATCGGTTATGTTGGCAAAGAAATTCGTATAACCTTGAGCAACGCATGTACTGTAAGTAATTATGACCAGCCGGGGAGCCGTGTGTTCACGTACCATGTTGCTTGGCGTATTCTTCTCTGTTCTTGGTGATCTTTTGGATGTAATCAGCGCTCCAGCGGGCACGGTCTAGAACTGTCACGATGACAAGACTTGAAGTCCCGGCCGGTGCTGCAGGGGTTCCTGTACTCGAATAAAATAGCTGCGACAATAAGAAATAAATCACCACCAGTAAGAATCCTAATATCGCAACAGCTTTAAGTTGTTTCCTGCGTTGTAATGACAGCCGGGAAGAGCGGCCGTATAGAGGAGCATTGACGTTCCTCCGAGGTGGTAGAGCGAACTGCATGGCTGAACGATTTGCCCCCAGCGGTGGTTTGCTGGGTGACTGAGAGTACAGTTGGACGAAACTATCGATCAGCACATTCTAATAGAAAGTAGACCCTGGGCTGTGTGGAATCGTAGATATGTAGTTTGCAGCGTCGCAGTACTTCTGGAACGGTCTTATCTAGTATCTGCCGCATCCGGAAATTAAATGCGGATCATCAACGGCCCGACGAATTATCCAAGACATTCCTCAGGTAATTTCTTGGTTGGTTGTTGGTCGTTGGTTGTATGGGCGGTTAAATAGTGTTCTGATTTTAAGAAGTCTTGTAGGAAAGTGTCAAGATCCCGTACACCTGGCGTGAAAGGCTATAGCAGTGGTACTGTATGGAACTGTCCCTCCTCTACCCCATCCAGGTTATTTCTATAACGAACGATTTATGTTTATATTTAACCCAAAGTAGCATTGACAACGTATAAGTACACTGAAGAGCTAATCATGCATATTCAAGGAAATAAATGCAACAACTGAGAG